CTCTGCCTCCTGGGTTCAAGCAATTCTCCTGCCTCAAGCTCCTGAATGGCTTGGACTACAGGTGTGTGTCACCACACCCAGCTAACTTTTGTATTTTTAGTAGAGTTGGGGTTTCACCATGTTGGCCAGGATGGCTTCAATCTCTTGACCATGTGATACACCCACCTGGGCTTCCCAAACTGCAGGGATTACAGATGTGAGCCATCATGCCCAACCCCAGGTATTAAGCTTTCATACCCAGATAGATGTAACTGGTAGATAGAAGTGCTTGAAATACTATTATATGATTGTAACAAAAGATATTGTACTAATTTGAGCTGTTGAGTTACACTTCTTCAGTCCACAGAACATACTTTACAGCTCATAGTGTTCAACAGTGGACAAAGAAATGTCACATCAAATAGACACAACATGTTGCATATCATCCACAGAGTAATAGTCGATTAGAGAACTGAAATAAATAGTTAAAACATTTTTGTTGTCTAAAATCTGGGGAGATAAAGGCATGAAGTGCTGGCCTTCACATCTTCATGGGTGTGTGCTCTCACTCAACATGAGGGTGCCTAAGACAGAGACCCTACTGGATAGATTCTTCTGTCTTTCTGAGTAATTTCAGTAAGAGAAAGTGGAAGAGGATGCAGGCTTAACTATGCAATTTTTCCCCACATAACCTCAACTCTGTTTTTCTACCTAATACAGTGGTCCCAGAAACATAAATGCAAACTGCATGTTCCTGAAGCAGAAATTATTCCTAAGAAAGGAACTGTAACTATAACATTATTATTATTAATTAAATTTTTTTTGAGACAGAGTCTCACTCTGTCACCCTGGCTGCAGTGCAGTTACCCGATTATTGCTCACTGAAACCTCCATGATTCAAATGATCTGTCTGCCTCAACCTCCCAAGCAGCTGGAACTGCAGGGGTGCACCACCACTCTCTGATAATTTTAAATTTGATTTTTTTTGTGACAGAGTTTTGCCATGTTGCCCAGGCTGGTCTTGAACTCCTGGGCTCAAGCCCTCCCACCTTGGCCTCCAGAAGCCTGGGATTACAGGTGTGAGCCACTGCCCCCAGCCAAACACTTTTGTTTAATGGTGCCATTTGTTGGAAAGAGCCTACACTGCTTGGCTTGTTTCCTATAGCTTCAGGACTTAGATTTCTCAAAAACAAAACCCAACCAACCTACAAAACAACAACAAAAAACAAAACCAAAAATCCCATATTCTTATTCTTCAAGGGTATAAGTTGCAATGATCCCATTACAATAAAAATGGAATTCCCAGCCTTGCAGGGTTTCTTTTGTTAAAGTGACGGCATTGACTGGGAAAAAATGAGATCCCAAAAATTAGAATGGGAATGTATGGGAAGACCCCAATCAAGCTAGGGACATCAAAACTCTAAATTCTGCTGAGTCATTTTTTCCAGTAGCCCTTCCACCATTGCCTGTAGAAATTAATCCTGCTTTGATTGAAGAACCTGTAATGCCCTCCCTTGTATAGAACAATTCTAGATCTAGATAACGGAAGTCTAATTTGAATCACCAACATAGAATCATGACTCCAGAATCAGTTCCCAGACTTGATTTAGTTTACAGACCCAGAACCCTTCAATTAAGTGATGATGGCTAAGTCTGCAGAGGAAGGATTCTGTTAAGCTGGCTAAATGATTACAACTAAATCTTTCACTGACTTTTCCTCAAAGAGACAAGTCACCATGTACCTGGGTGACTAAGTCTGTGAGTCACAGACTGGGTGATTGTGCATTGAAAAAAAGAAAATAATCAGACTTTCAGGGGGGTTACTGGACACTGGCTCTGAATTAACACTAACAGCAGAAGACTGAAAACATCACTGCATTCCACAAGTGAGAGTAGGAATCTGGCAGATTCCCTGCATTAACAGAATGACCTATGAAGCTAGAGCTATTATGATAGGAAAGATCAAGTGGAAGCCACTAGAACAGTTTCTATTAAGGAAAATAAATCAAAAGCAATACCATATTTTTTGAAAGATTACTGAGAGTAGTACTACCATCAAAGATTTGAAGTAAGTAGGGATGGTGATTTCTGATGAATCTTCATTCCACTCACCTATTTGGACTGTGCAAAAAAGAGATGGATTTTGGAGAACAATAGGAGATTATTGTAAATTTAACCTGGAAGTGACTCCAATTGCAGCTGCAGTTCAGGGTATAGTTCCAATCTTTAAGCAAATTAACCCTACTTGATATGCATCTACTGATCTGGCAAATACATTTCTCTTAATATCTGTTAGCAGAGGCCACCAGAAGCAGTATGCTTTCTGTGGACAATTCCAGCAATACACCTTCACTGCCCTACCTCAGGCACAGATCAACTCTAGTCTTATGTCATAATATAATCCACAGGGAGTTTGGTCACATTTTTCATTTCTATGAGACATCACACTGGTCTATTATATTGATGATGCTGGACCTAGTTATTGGACCTAGAGTACTAACTCTAGAGTAGTTACTACTTCTTAACTAGGTCCAATCAGTAGGTCTAGCATCATCAGTATAAAAGACCAGTGTTATGTCTCATAGAAATGAAAAATATTGGCGAGACATTTGCAAGACATAGAGTGGGAAATGAATCTGACAAAAATTCAGGGAACTTACTCCTCAGTAAAAATCTTAAGGGTCTAATGGTGTGAGGAATGTCAAGATATTCATTCTATGGTGAAGGATAAATTATTGCATCTGGCCCCTCCTACAACCAAAAAAGAGGCCCAAAGTCTAATGGGCCTTTTTGGGTTTTGGAGACAGAATATGCTCTATGTCATCACCAAGTATGTGGCTCCATTTTCCCCATAGCCAGTTTTCAAGGTTCTAGGAATCAAGGGGTGAAAATAGCAGTGGACTACACACTTTCATCTCCGGTGATCCACTAGAAAACATGCTCTTCTCATTCCTATGACCTTATGTTCTGCTGGTCTAGTGGTCTCAGTTCCAAATAGAATAATTCTTCCACCACAGTCACAATAATAGTTCCTTTGAACTGGAAGTGAAGACTACCACTTGGCCACTTTAAGCTCCTTATGCCTTTGAATCAACAGGCCAAGAAAGGAGTTACTGTACCGGCTGGTATGGTTGATATGGATTCTGAGGGAAAATTGCACTTCCACTACACACTGGAAGTGAGAAAGAGTGTGTCTAGAATACAGGAGATACCTTGGGACATCTTTTAATATGTAATACTACCATGTTCTCTGATTAACAGCACTGTAAAATTACAATTCAATTCAGGATAGTCCAGACTCCTCAGGAGTGAATGTCTGTGTTACCCCACTAGGCAAAAAGCACAACTAGCTGAGATGCTTGCTTATGGCAAAGGCAATACGGAATGAATATTGATAGAAGGTAGTAATAAGTACCAACTATGATTAGGTAACTTGTAGAAATCAGGACTATAATTCTTGTACTTCTTCCTTATTTTGCTATGAATATATTGTATATATATATAATATATTTTTGTGTGCATATATACAAAGAATATATGCATATATAAAGAATATATGCATATATGTATATTCAAATAATATGCATATCTATTTGCCTGTTGATACACTATATAAGGACCACGAGTATTTTTCATTTTCCTCTTTTTCTTATAGTTTTATCATTGAAGGTAAGATGTATCAATAACAGTCAACTTTACATGCATAGCTGTCATCTGCCAGATTCCTACTCTCATTAGTGAAATACAGTGAAATTTTTAGTCACCTGGATACATGGTCACATGTCTCTTTGAGGAAAGGTGGATGAAAGATTTAGCTATTTAAGGTTACATCTCAATATTTCAGTTATAGGATTATCAAGGAGAAGAGTGAATGTCACTCAAAAACTTTGCATCCTTTTTCGGGGGGAAAAGATTTTACATATTCATAGTTGCATGCAAGATAGCTGTGTCATTTTAGGCAGAATTATGCCTTTGTCAATTATTTTTGTTTGGAGATTAAGCATGGTTTAAGGAGATTATGTATGAATATCAGATTAACAGTGTGTGGACTGTGATTTGTTTTGCGTGTGGATTTGGCTAGGTTTCAGTACACAGTCATTCAATCACACATCAGTCTAGGTGTTACTATGAAGGTATTTTGTAGATATGGCTTACAGCTACAAATAAACAAATCAGTTGACTGTATATAGATTATTCCTAATAATATAGGTGGACCTTATCCAATCGGTTGAAAGATTCAAGGTTTTCTGGAGAAGGAGAAATTCTACTGTGGACTGAAGTATCAACTCCTGTCAGAGTTTCCAGCCTGTCCTTCCTGTGGCATGCCCTGTGAATTTGGATTTTGCCTAGGCAGCCCTCACAATGGGGTAAAAAAAATCCTTGCAATCGTCATTAATTCTATCTATCTATCTATCTATCTATCTACCTATCTATCTATCTATCTATCTATCATCTATCTATCTATCTATCATCTATCTATCATCTATCTATCTTCCTTTCACAAATTTTTGGTTTTTTCTTCCTCTACCTCCAGCATTACTCTCTCAGATGACCCTCCAGAGGCCTAATTATTACCTCCACCCACTGTTGACTTCTCTCCAGTTCTGGCCTTTAGTCTACCTTCTTATCCTGACCTCCTTTGAAGGTCCTCTTTCATCATTGGTTTCTTTTCTTTTCTTTTTTTTTAACTCAGAGTCTTGCTCTGTCACCCAGGCTGGAGTGCAATGGCATGATCTTTGGCTCACTGTCACCTCTGCCTCTCGGGTTCAAGCAGAACCTCCTGCCTCAGCCTCCTGAGTAGCTGGGATTACAGGCGACCACCACCACGCCCAGCTAATTTTTGTATTTTTAGTAGAGATGGGGTTTTACTGCTCTGGCTAGGCTGATCTCAAACTCCTGGCCTTGTGATCTGCCTGCCTTGGCCTCCCAAAGTGCTGGGACTACAAGTGTGAGCCGCTGGGCCTGGCCTCATCATTGGTTCCTATCTTGGCTCTGATTCTCCCTCACCATCTCACTTTTTCTCATAATCTTCACACTGGGTCCTGTTCCTGCAGCACTCCTTTAACTCACATAACTGGCCTTCTCTCTGCTGAGGTCCCTCTGACACTGGCCTGCATATTTTCACTAATGTTTTTCTTCCTGCCCATAAATTGTCTTATATCGTCTACCTTCAAAGACTTTCTGGCCCCTGGGTTCCACTCATCCCTCATGTGTTCTTAGTTCACCTTCACAGTTGACTTTCTCATCTTGGTAAACCAGGGTCTTCTCTACCATGAGTCCTTGCTCCCCACATCTTCTCTCTGGCTGACCTTCACCACTGTGTTTCTGCCTCCCCTGCCCTTTGCATGACTGGACTTCATGTTCTTGTAGAACTGTCTTCTGCCCTTACCACTTGCCTTTTCCATGCTTTTCCTGGAGCATGGAACAGGATCCTGTTCCTGTTATCTGTGTCTCACTGTCTCTGGACACCTTCTGTCATGGTATTGTCTTCTCACCAAACTTGGTCCTCTCCATTGATCCCACTGATTCATTTGTCTTTTATCTCTACCACCAATCACTCTTCCCCATCCTCCTTAGACTTCACTGCATCTCTGACTAACACAAACTGTGACTCAAACAGGGCATGACAATTTGATAAACGCAATTTGATGTCCCAGAGAGTTTATCTTCAGATAATTCTATTGATTAGCCTTGAATTTCCCAGTAATATATTTCAGCCATCTCCTGGCAGCTGGTGGCTGCCAAGAACTTATCCCGTTCCTCTTACTCAAGCTGTGATATCAAGCAAGAATTTTGTTCTCTTCATCAGAGACCTCTTCCAGAGAAGACCTCAGAGGCAAACATATGGATTCCAGTAGCCTCTATATCCTCAGCACTGAAATCCAGGAACTTCTATATGCATATGTCAAAATAGATTTGATTTCTAGATTTGAGAGGAGGGAGAGAGAAAATAATGAGGTATTATTCCCAAAGCATTTGAGGCAAAAGTAATGCATGGATTATTATGGGACCCTCCTAGAATACTTGCTAGACTCCATCTTAGAATCATGTGAGAAGTAAACCACACCCTCATGTCCTTCTGTGAACTGAATGCAAATCAGAACACTGACACAGCTCTAGCAGGGTCTGAATCCGAAGAACTTCTTGAACCATTAGCAGCATATACATGATGTCAAGTATTCTAGTGTCCATCCCTTTAACCAGCAAGTCCTGGATGATTATTCTTCCTGGAAGTGTTTCTGTGTTTTAAAATAGCTTAGTTTGAAAATTAGTTCAATAAATCTTTGTATAGTTTTATAAACCCTACTGTGCCTGTAAAAAGGAAAGGTATTTTATTGTGTGTGCTTATATGCAGTGCCAACATGCCATAGCATGAATTTTTTTCTCATCAATCAATTTCAACAGGGATGGCCAGGGGCAGTGGTTCATACTCATAATCTCAATGGCTTGGGAGGCTGAAAGGGGAGCATCACTTGAGGCCAGGAGTTCAAGACCAGCCTGGGTAACATAGCAAGAGCCCATTTTTACAAAAATAAAAATAAAAAAATTAGTTGGGTTTGGAAGTACATCCCAGCTACTTGGGAACACTTGAGTCCAAGAATTTGAAGCTGTGGTGAGCTATGATTGCACTCCAGCCCGAGTGACAGAGTCCCTGTCTCTAAAAACAAACAACCACAAAATAAACAGTGTTCAACTCAGCATATATAATGTGATTTGTCATGTTATAAGAGAATATGCAAAAAAAATTGTAAGGATATAATCACTGTAAAGAGGTGAGAATAAACATAGCATTGACTTGGGCAAAATTTATTACTGAAGCACTTGCTTACATAAACTCTTTTGGTATTTATAAGATTCTCTTTCAGTATCAGTAACCCAAGCAGACAAATACTGGGATTTTCCATTGGCACTCAGTGACCTTCTAATTAGGCCTCCATTGTCTATGATTCCATTTCTTCTATATCTTATCTCTTTAGCCTCATATCACCACTTTACTTGTTAAATCTCCTAGAAAAACCTTAATACATGAACTCATCGTTTTTGATTGCTGCATAATATTCCATGGTGTATATGTGCCATATTTTCCCTGTCCAGTCTATCATCGATGGGCATTTGGGTTGGTTTCAGGTCTTTGCTATTGTAAACAGTGCTACAATGAACATTCATGTGCATGTGTCCTTATAGTAGAATGATTTATAATCCTTTGGATATATATCTAGTAATGGGTTTGCTGGGTTAAATGGAATTTCTATTTCTAGGTCCTTGAGGAATCGCCACACTGTCTTCCACAATGGTTGAACTAATTTACACTCCCACCAGCAGTGTAAAAGTGTTCCTATTTCTCCATATCCTCTCCAGCATCTGTTGTCTCCAGATTTTTTAATGATCGCCATTCTAACTGGCATAAGATGGTATCTCAATGTAGTTTTGATTTGCATTTCTCTAATGACCAGTGATGATAAGCATTTTTTCATGTTTGTTGGCCTCATGTATGTCTTCTTTTGTAAAGTGTCTGTTCGTATCCTTTGCCCACTTTTGAATGGGCTTGTTTGTTTTGTTCTTTTTTTTTTTTAGAAAGAAAAGAAAAAAAGGAGTGAAGAAGAGGAAGAAAGAGGAAGAAAAAGAGGGAGAGAAAATGGGAATGTAGCTTTATTCTAAAAATGGGTATTAATAATGGCCAACCAATATTTTGTGTATTTAAGGTGGAGAATGTATATTTTGTGTATTTAAAATGGAGAGCTCTATAAATATTTATTGAGTTTACCTGTTCCAGGTCTGAGTTCAAGTCCTGGATATCCTTATAAATTTTCTGTCTCGTTGAGTCTAAATCTCTTTATGAGTCTTATGTATCTGGGTGTTAGGATCGTTAGCTCTTATTATTGCATTGATCCTTTTTACTACTATATCTTTGTTGCTTTGAAATCTATTTTATCAGATGCGAGAATTACAACTCCTGCTTTTTATTTATTTATTTATTTTTGCTCTCCATTTGGTTGGTAAATCTTTCTCCATCCCTTTGTTTTAAGTCTTTGTGTATCTTTGAATGTGAAATGGGGCTGGATGTAGCATATCATTAGGTTTTGGCTGTATCTTTTGATTAGGGGATTTAGTCGACTTAAATTTAGGGTTACTGCTATTTGATGTTAACTGGCTATTTTATCCATTCATTGATGTATATTCTTCTTTATGTTGATGCTCTTTACTTTTTGGTATATTTTTAGAAAGGCTAATACTGGTTGTTCCTTTCTATGTATAATGCTTCTTTCAGAAGCTCTTGTAAAACTGGCCTGGTGGTAATAAAATCTCTGAGTACTTGCTTGTTCATAAAAGATTTTATTTTTCCTTCAATTGTGAAGCTTAGTTTGGCAGGATATGAAATTCTGGGCTGAAAGTTCTGTTCTTTAAGGATGTTGAATATTGGCCCCCACTCTCTTCTGGCTGTAGGTTTTCTGCTGAGAGATCTGCTGTAAGTCTAATAGGCTTCCCTTTCTGGGTAAGCGGACCTTTCTTTCTGGCTGCCCTTAGTATTTTCTGCTTCGTTTCAACCTGGTGAATCTAACGATTATGTGCCTTGGGGTTGCTCTTCTTGAGGAATATCTTTGTGGTGTTCTCTGTATTACCTGGGGTTGAATATTGTGCTGCTTTGCTAGATTCGGAAAGTCTTCCTGAATAATATCCTGAAGAGTATTTTCCAGCTTGGATTCATTCTCTTCGTCACATTCGGGTACACCTATCAAACATAAATTATGTCTTTTCACATAGTCCCGTATTTCTTGGGGACTTTGCTCATTCCTTTTTATCCTTTTTTCTCTAACCTTGTCTTCTCGTTTTATTTCATTAAGCACGTCTTTGACCTCTGATATTTTTTCTTCTGCTTGATCAATTCGGCTATTCAAACTTGTGCATATTTCGCTAAGTTTTTGTGTTGTGTTTTTCAACTCCGTTAGTCCATTTATATTCCTCTCTATATTGTCTATTCTTGTTAGCGTTTCGTCAAACCTTTTTTCAAAGTTCTTAGTTTCTTTACATTGGGTTAGAACAAGTTCTTTTAACTCCCAGAAGTTTCTTATCATCCACCTTCTGAAGCCTACTTCTGATAATGGCACACAGTCCTTTTCCATCAGGGCTTGTTCCGTTGCTGATGAGGAACTGTAATCCCCTGTAGAGGGAGAGGGGTTCTGATTTTGGATATTCTCAGCCTTTTTAGGCTGGTTTCTTCCCTTTGTTATAAATTTATCCATCTGTCGTCTTTACAATTACTGCCTTTCTAGTTGGGTTTCTGAGTGGAGGCCCAGTTTATTCCCAGTTCTGGAATCCGAGCAACCCACTGCGCTGGCCAAAGCAACAGCGATAAGACTGATGGTGCCCTTTTGCCCGGGAATCTCCTCCCGTTTACTCTGCATGAAGAGCTGCTGCACTGAGTTGCCAGCAAAACCGCTGCGCCGGCCACAAGAGTTGTGCTGGTGACCCGTGGGGCCTCTCCACTGGGAATCTTCTGGTCCATGAGCGACAAAAATTCGTCTGAAAGTGTGGTGTCCTCTCCTTCTCTGCACTTTCACTGGGAGCTACAATCCCAAACTGTTAGCGATCAGCCATCTTGGATCACTCTATCGTTTTGTTCTTGTAAATCTGTTTTAGTTCTTTGTAAATTCTGGATATCAGCCCTTTGTCAGATGGGTAAACTGCAAACATTTTTTCCCATTCTGTTGGTTGCCAATTCACTCTAATGACTGTTTCTTTTGCCGTGCAGAAGCTGTGGAGTCTGATTAGGTCCCATTTGTCTATTTTGGCTTTTGTTGACAATGCTTTTGGTGTTTTGTTCATGAAGTCCTTGCCTACTCCTATGTCCTGAATGGGTTTGCCTAGATTTTCTTCTAGGGTTTTTATGGTGTTAGGTCTTATATTTAAGTCTTTAATCCATCTGGAGTTAATTTTAGTGTAAGGTGTCAGGAAGGGGTCCAGTTTCTGCTTTCTGCACACGGCTAGCCAGTTTTCCCAACACCATTTATTAAACAGGGAATTATTTCCCCATTGCGTCCTTTGTAGGGACATGGATGAACCTGGAGGACATCATCCTCAGCAAACTGACACAAGAATAGAAAATAAAATACCACATGTTCTCACTCATAGGCAGGTGTTGAACAATGAGAACACATGAACACAGGGAGGGGAGCACTACACACTGGGGTCTGTTGAGGGGAATAGGGGAGGGACAGTGGGGGGTGGGGAGTTGGGGAGAGATAGCATGGGGAGAAGTGCCAGATATAGGTGAAGGGGAGGAAGTCAGCAAATCACACTGCCACGTGTGTACCAATGCAACTATCTTGCATGTTCTTCACATGTACCCCAAACATAAAATGCAATTAAACTTAATACAATAAATATAATTTTTTGAGTACCTGTTATGCAGTAGGCATATACTATAAAATCATATACAGGACCCTCATGTAATTTCCAGGCAACCAAGGGTGGAGGACACTAATCAACTATTGACTCAAAGAGTGGCATATATAATACTAAAAACAAGACAGAGTGCTAGAGAGAGAAGTCATGTTGGGGGGTTTGACCTTGTCATAGAGCTCAAGTGTTCTTGAAAACTGAGTTGGGATATGGAGAATATTTGGGAGTTAACTTTACGGAGAAGAGAAGAAAGAGAATTCCAGGAATGGGAAACAAATTCTACCAAGGCACTGTGATACAGAGTGAGAGTTTGAATTCCTAAAATTAGTCTAACATGATTGTGGTGCTGAGAATTGCTTCTGGTTTGGTGTAGGAAGAGAGGGAATAAGTACACAGTAGTTAGAACTCGCAGGGACTTCTAGGTTTTGCTGTATAGTTTTGTGTTATTCTAAGGAAGATATTGAAGTATTTCAAATAGGAGGTTGTATTGTCAGTATATCACTTTTTAATACCACTCAGGTT